AATATGTGTGTAAAAATAAAAAAAAAAATTACCTTGTTTTATAAAGTATCCTCCCGACAAGTATTTCAGTGCGGACCTGTATTTGATCGTGAGGTCTTGGAGCACCGGCATGCCATCCATATGTGAGGTCTTAAGTCAAATGATTCACGAACCCGTTGTACTACATTAACAAAGGCACGAGGGGTTGGTTGCACTCGATTGGGAAACCGATCCGCATAAACATGTGCCATTTTTTATTTCGTTTGAGCCACGCAACAGACACCACTATCCACTACCGACTGACACTGACTGTATACAACTGAATGAAATAATTGTAAAAACATCGTTCCAAATTCTTTCGCTTTTTTGTTTCCGATGCGATGAACCGATAAGGCGAATTATATCCGTTGTCGCCAAACACGAGCACATAATATTATTATTGAGACAGGGCGGTACTCAAACTTCCAAAGGGCTATAACTTTGTTACTTTAATTTTACCAGAAAACTGGTAAAGGAAAAAACATTTCTTTTGATCAGACCTACTCACTGTTAAAATAAATGACTCAACTTCGAAGTCACCCTGTATATCTCAAAGACATACGTTTTTCAATTGTGTCTCATTCTCGAAACGATCAATGGAGAAGGCCGACAGCTCGTGCTAAAGTTATTAGATTATGTTCAGGAAGAGAATGAAAACAGCGGCTCCCTGTTACCGACTTCAGCTGACTGGAGAGAGTAACAGATGCGCTGAAGATTAGTCTGCGTAGTGTTCCGCCCATGGTACGCAGACTCGATCTGTTTACTTATTTCATATGGCGTTGATGACGTAACCGCCAAGAACGGTGACTACCTATGACCAAGCCTGAGACCCAAACAACGGCTAATTAATGACACACATGGGGTGAATCTATCCATGCCACTGTGAAATATTCTAACTCAAGTTTAAAAATCATGTTTAGCAATAATAGGTATGAACATTTGCTTCTTAATGACACGTTTTTATCTCAAGCTTACACATTTTGAAAAAATATTCCTGCATGCAGGGATAGGATATTCAATACAAATATAGAACTGAAAATGCCCAAGATCATTGTATTAAATTTGAATGTAATACCAACATAAAATCACAATTACTCAAATGCTTGTCTGACCAATAAAACTACAGGTATTTACAGAATATTCAATACTGTACGCCTTTGTGACTAAAACATTTACAGTAAAGAAGAATATGCCATATACGTGTGGTTTTATTGGCCAGACAAGCATGTACACCACAGGATAAGTTTCATTACCCAAATTTGGTGTGAAACACAGTTCACCTACAGTGTTTAGTTTTTGAGTAAAAGGCATTACATTTTTTGTAAATTGGTTCAGTAGTGACAGAACCGTCATCAAAAATTAATAGTACGTCACCATACTTCTCTAGTATAAAATTAAGAGTGTCATTTCAAATTCAATCGATCGATGATCCTCCATCAAATGCTGACTGTAGGTTAACCTAGTTTACAAACAAATTGCATTTGAAAAACCAAAATTGGCACATTCCTACAACAATAACAATGTTATCAGTGCATCTGCAGGATCCTATTGATACTCTGCAAATGTATTCAGAAAGTCATTCTCAATATTTCCATCAAAGATGCATAGGTTTGTTTATATGGTGCAAAAAGCTGTCACGGTTGATACATTGGAAGACCAAATGTTAAGCAATCAAACTCATGTTTTTGAATCAAACAGTGACAACTTACCACAAAGCAAAGTCTCAAGTTTCAGGATACTCTGTAAAGTTTTACATAAACATCTAGGGCTATATAGAAACTAACAGCAAATTGAGATTAAACTTACCAAGGGATTAATTTTGTATTTTAACCTAGACATACTATTTTTCTCACCATTCATAAATTGTGGAATAATGGGTTTCTAAAATGCACTTACCTCTTCAACAAGAATTTTCGCAACAGTAAAGAGAGTCATTAAATCATTAAAATATGGAATAAGAGTTTCCATAAATATATCCAATAGATTATCGAATTGACCTGGATCTCTTGACAATGTAGTTATGATCTGTTTTAACCTTTTTATATCATCATCAATATTTGGAATTGCAGCTGCAGAGTGATTTTGTGAATGATTCGAATCATTGCCATGCCGTTTGTGGATCTTCAGCCTGTTCTGCAGACTGTTGGAGAGACTGTCCACCCTCTGTGTCATAATGCTGTTGTTGGGAAACCATTCGGGGGCATCAGCTTTCAGGGATGATTTGGCGACGATCTCGTTCATATCCTTTTTAGTATCTGTTTCCGCATTTTCCGTTTGAGGACAACGTCAGGCGCACTTTTTGGCAACCTTATAGAAGACGCATTTGCTGTACCTTTATCCCACAACACTGGCTTGTTCTCCATGGTTATAGCTGTGTAGTTCAGATTTCGTTTACATTCACTGAGCTTCTGTAACGAATACGGGGATTTGATTTCCAAAAAATAGCACAAAAAACAAAATACCTTCAAAAATCCAAACAACCTTTGTGATCTTCACTTGCCAGGAAAACAACAAACTGATGTTGACGTCTTTGACAGTGCTTTGTTGTCATTGCACGTGACAGCGAAGTTGACGTTTCGGTGACAGATGCCGTGCTGCGTTGCCGATATCTGAAATAAATATTTGATTTTGATACGTCTCATACGGGGGTTGAACGATAATAATCAATTCTGTGCGAACAAAAGGTGAAATTTTTCTATCGATCAATCTATCCGTACAGCTGTCGCCAACCTGTCACTGATCGTGTCCAAGATGCTGATACACAAATTCCACTCATGCAAGTGTCGATTTTTTTGACATTATATTGTTTTTTTGTGACAATATGTAGGTTTCTCTGCAAGATGTTAACTCACCACTAGCTGATGGACACGTTGTGGACTCGTTTTGTAGTTGTACGGGTTGCCTAAACGTCATGAGACTTCAGCTATCAATGTTTTGATCTGTGTGCTAATAATATGTGTTGATGATAATTCCATTTGATTCTTGTCTGAAATACACTTACTCAAGATTCAAAGCTAGACATTAGTTACGCATCTACTTTTTCTTATCCATTCTCGAAATTACATTATGTTAATTTGCTGGATTTAAAAAATGTCAGAGATAAGAAGTAATTATGTTCACTGTACATTGTCGAATTACATGCTAACAGTACTTACACACAACGCGGGCGCGGTGGTGATTTCCCGTAATTCTCCTCAAAGTTTTTGAAAACACAAAAAACGTGAAAAAATCGTAATTTATAACTTGTCTTCAGAAAGGACAACATATAAATGACCCGTCGGGCACAACTAACAGATATGCTTCTTTGGTAGCATATTTAGTAATGATTTTCTCACACAGCAAATATATACACATCAGACCAATACACACAATTATCCAGATGCGATCTTGATATTCAACCAACTTTCTTCGCAGAGATGGAAACTATAGACTACTTCGCTTCTCAAAACATATGCAACCAATAATGCATGTAGTTGAGCTATTCCTCCATAGATGAACGCTCACAACGATCCTAGTGAGCAAACGTGGGATAACTGTTTGCACCCTAAAAACTACCTAGTCTGCAAGATGACATTTTATAGGTTGTTTTGACGTTTTATAGGTTTTTTACAAAATACTCGTGCGAATCCCAGACACAGTTACCGACAAGTCACCGACCACTGTACGAATAACCCTTAAAAGTGGTACTGAGAAAGTAGCGCTATCTAACGAGAAAGGGATGCAGTTTTGGTTCTGCTACTGTCTTATAGATGGTGCTATGATCTGCAATCCATGCTTGGCTTCTCTAATGCCTATTTCAATCGGGTATCTTCAGGCGTCGTATTCCACCTGAAGACTCCTAATCAAAATATACAGGGTGACTTCGAAGTTGAGTCATTTATTTTAACAGTGAATAGATCTGATCAAAAGAAATGTTTTTTTCCTTTACCATTTTTCTGGTAAAATTAAAGTAACAAAGTTATAGCCCTTTGGAAGTTTGAGTACCGCCCTGTCTCAATATCATGTGCTCGTGTTTGGCAACAACGGATATAATCCGCCTTACCGGTTCATCGCATCGGAAACAAAAAAGCGAAAGAATTTGGAACGATGTTTGTGTACAGTTTATTATTTTATTCAGTTCAGTTATACATACAGTCAGTGTCAGTGTCGCGTGTGAATAGTGTCTGTTGCGTGGCTCAAACGAAATAAAAATGGCACATGTTTATGCGGATCGGTTTCCCAATCGAGTGCAACCAACCCCTCGTGCCTTTGTTAATGTAGTACAACGGGCTCGTGAATCAGGTGACTTAAGACCTCACAGGGGACCTCACGATCAAATACAGGTCCGCACTGAAATACTTGTCGGGAGGATACTTTATAAAACAAGGTAAACAATTTTTTTTAATTTTTTTTTATTTTTACACACATATTTTGGTTTATCTTCCTTCTACGTATACAATCATTATCTGAAAATTAATGACTCAACTTCAAAGTCACCCTGTATAATAAAGAGTCCAAAATGGCTTCGAGCATGTTTTATTCAGCTCACCACCAGAAATCGGCTTGTTACAGAACACAAAAGTCGATATCAATGGTCAGACATACAAACACAAAAATGAATTTTCAAATCTACGTTGAAACTGTAGTATTTAGTTCTTCCACTATCTTATAGATCCGGCATAACGTTATTTTTGAAATTCATTACGCAGCAGGTATCGTGGCGCATTTATAATCATATTTACTCGAATACGTATACCAAACCGCATAGAGAGATTTTATCACAGAACACTGCGCGACAATGCTCTTGTTAACGTTGTGTGCGGTGGTCGATTTAGTTCCTCCCACTATGAACTTCCCCCCGACGACTTCCCCTTGAGATTCTACATCAACCGCCACCACCGATGAGTGAAATTCTCGAGTGCACCCCGTATACAGATTGGAGGAATCGGAAAATTGTAATCATTATACAGTGCTAGGGTACGTTCCAAATAACATTTGGCAACGCTGGCTCTACCTTCCGATTAGAGATATGTTAGAGACAAAAAGCAAAAATTGACATGGTCGGGTTTTCATATGCATAAATTTTAGTCTTATTAGACGGTTTTTTCTGTTTTTCCTATTCGCGTATCGATTACCGATTGACTTAGTACGTGTAGTGACCATCTTTCCGATTTAATTCTCATTTTTTTCGCTATCGCAATGTCCAAGTGAAGTGTAAACAATTAAGCAATTAAAGTACCGTGGATATAATGGCAGCCTGTTTTTTAATAAAATTTTAATAAATACGGCAGATTTGCATGTGTTCAGTGAGTGAGGTGGTTATATTGTAACATTTTCATAAAATGAGGGCACTACCTCGGACCCTGCTATTTGTTTTCACTAACTTGATATGTCTCGGTCAAAATATTGTAGGTAAGTTGACATCCTGCATGTGTTTCTGTTTTCGTAGATGTACAAGGTATTTGGCATCTCATGAATTTGATCGACAGAGTTCATACCGGATTACTTCGCCGATAAGTTCATGCTTGTATCGAAATGAATTCATCAAATATAGACCGTTATCGGTAAATGTTTCACTGCATGTCCGATTAATGTAGATGAAATGTTTCCATCTGATTGAAACAGCCATTAGATTTTAATAAGTGATAACTTCGTAATGGGTGAATATACGTTACTGAGTTTCCAGTGTCAACTAAAAAACTAGCTTATTTTGTTTTGATATTCATTATAGCCCATTTCACGAGTATCCATCACTATAAAATGACAGCTAATTATCTAGTAATATCTCAAAATTCCCTATATCGGCACAGGGCACAGAACACATAATTCTGACGTATCCGTCAACGTCAGATAGTCAGAGCCAGAGCCGTTTTGTTTTGTTTTTTTGTATGCTACTTATAGATTAATTTTGTACTTGCTAACAGCTCTTTTATTTAGAAAGGTTCATTTGTAAACAAAATGCTATAAACAATTTTTACTAGATTTACATCCGATTCATTATGGCCAATGTTGCAGACTAACAGAAACATGTCACTAGCTGATCAGCTGCTGACGTCAGTAGGCGTCAAAACGTGATGGATACTCGTCAAATAGAGTTTAGCGACGATCTTGGTGATGATAGTCCGACGATAACCCATTTTGGGAATATCACATGAAAATTGCTGTCGTTTTGGATTGTTAAGATGGTTATGCATATTGTAACGATTTAAATCAACCTAGGATCGCAAAATACAATCAATATTGGTTGCACGTATTGACGAAATCTTATCATTTAGAAGCATCGCGAATATTATTTATTGTTGGATTCAATTGTTTACTACTTATACAATGTATAAAATGATAATTTGCATAATACTTGCTATTGTTTGTTGTTTGCATGGAAGCCGGTCTATCATCTTGAATTTTTTATTCTGAAATGTTTCAATATTACCAGTTCAGAATTCTTATCTTTTATGTGTATTATACATGAAGTTATCATGTGCATCTCTGAGCAGATATATATTATTACCGCTCAGTCATGGTCATGGCCGTGTCAGTTTTAAAAAATTTGGAGAGTTTATATGTTTACAATATTAAAGAAAATGTCGATTGACTGTTTGGCATTTATTTTACTGATAATGTCGCATTTTAACGAAATTTTCACGGTTTACTATCATGCTGATACTGAAAAAAACTGATTGTTTTGAAAATCGGTCCAGTGGTGGGTGGCAGAGTTATCAATGAAAAGCTAAAAATTTCAGATTCTTCTCAAGCTCCATGTTCAGATATTTTTCCAGATTTCGATAATATTTAAGGCTAGTCCTAGTATAGAGGAACAACCGGTTTTAAAAATTATGCATCGTTTCGTTTTTCAATATCTGATTACTTTAAGGAGCTTTACAAAACGTATAAGGTCAAAATGCATGGATATCAGTCAGTACTGAGTGAATGTTCTCGACTTTTTTTCTAATGGAAAAACCTTTTTTGTATTTCGTTAGTGCTGTCATTTTTAAAATCCTTATGCAGGAGATGAATGTTACAACCTACTTGATGATATATTTTGTACTCATGAATTATATTCCCATGGAGTTGTTAGCAGAAAATCAAAAACTACAATTTACAGCTGGCTTTAAAACAACAACAACAACACAGCTAGCGTTTTCCACCAACAGCCCAAGTAAAACCGGAAAACAAAATCTAGAACGACGATATTAACATTCGAACTAAAAATATACATGAAAAATAGATCGATAAACTTTGGTTATACATGAAGCATCAATGAACTGTTGATGAGATAAAAGAGATAACACGCGGACCGACGTCAAAGTCTCGGTCAGTGCGTAAGGAGCTTATCTGAATGACGATAACATATTACAAAATTGTTGCGGTTTTATAATGCCAGACGGCTGAGATCGCGCTAGGGTCAGAATTGAAGTGTTTGTACGCGCTACGCTGGCAAACTTTTCCCAAGCAAATAATAATACTTCTTAATAATATATTGATATTCGTTCTGATTTATGTTTATACAAGCTTGGTTTCGTAAATAAAAATGGCGTCATCAGTTCGTAAAGGATTAAGTTCATCACAAGATGAAATTGGTTACAGGGTGTAATTTGATTGATCGCTAAACATACACGATACGATTCATTAGCTCGTTTTAGTTTATATGAACATACGTCCTAAATCTCTTAACTGTTGAGCTACAGTGTGTTAAAATTTTAAGAAAAAAATCGTTATTACTGTTCTAGATATTTTCATGAAATTTGACAGGCACCTACTAGGCATTTTTTTAAGTAGAATATTTTTTATTATTTCTACCAGTGGCGTCCGTACGGGATGTGTTTTGCAATTTTTTGTCGAAACGTTCGCGTTTGTTACCAATGACATAATCATTTAACATCCTTTCTATTTTTTTCCAGAAATTTGGGGGCTGAAATGCAAATGCGACATTTGCAAAAAGACCAACTATACCTGCGAAACGACAGGATACTGCTTCGCCTCCACGTACTTCAAAAATGGTGTTCAGCAGTATGACTACAGGTAACGCAGCTCTCACTTTACACCGAGTATCCGTTTCTTCTTTCTTTCCTATCGTTGTATTTAGCGAATCCAAATTATCGAGGAAAAATTTAGGAAACAAATAAAACTCATCTGGTTTATTCCGTTTCGTATAATTGGTGTATTTGAAATTGGTGTTACAGCTGATGTTGACAATTGGCTTCTTTGGGGCTTAAAATACGTACTAAAACGATATTTATTTTTTATACGAATCCGCACGTTCTTGTATTCTCCACTTTTCCCGTCAACGCAAGGTGATTATTGGGTTGCGATGTATACTTTCCAAACAGATGATTTTTGGATGTTATATTCGTCGGTCTGTTAATCTTATAACCGTCTAGAACTTGAGATGTCGACGAAATTTTCATACTATGCCAATGACGCAAAATCTTTGTAATTTCGGTCCGAAAACTGTTTGTGCTTAGGGGTTGCAGTAGGCGGGGAAGGCTATATTTCAAATTTTTGACGTAGGATTAACAATACGCTTCCAACCCCAGTAATTCTACGCATATTTCACTCATGCGTACGACGTGGTCTTCCGATGGACAAGCGTCGCCGTCGGTGGTCGTACGTCACTGTCGGCAATAGCTTCCGCACCGCCGTGTGCTGCGTGCACTGTGCTTCGTGAACGCTAAAATCGTCATTCACGCGGGATTATGTAGGTTTTTCTGTAAAAAAATCAACTTTGGACTAGCTGATATTCACTTTATGCTCACTTGTAGTTGACATTTTTTTGGCATTATATAGGTTTTTTACGTAATGACCTTGCAGTACCAGGCGAGAAAGGTTAAATAAAAAAGATGTAACTTCAGGTAGACAGAATACAGGATAATTTTTAGGAACGGAAACTTCACCTTGCGTTGTTTTATGCGGTTGAATACTTATTCTGAACAGTTAATAAGATATTAGGCACAGTCCGTTTCTGAATCAGAAATTTGAATGTATTGAAGAAAGTTGGATATAAAATATTCAAAATTGGAAAATAACAAAAAAGCGAATATGCTGTCCGTTTTTAAGACAAAGTGTACATGATATTGTTTTGAGGTGTTTCAAATCCGATATCGGGCATTCATAGATGTATAAACATAACCAACTCTTTTTGTCAATGTATATTGGTCAAAAACTAAAGAATAAGAACCCTATTTTTGTGTATCTCTTTAAATCCATGAAAAAACTTAATATGGAGGTATGTGGGAGAACGTTTCCTTCTCACAAATTGTTTAATAAGAATCCTATTTTTTTGGAAAAAACTTCATATGGAGGTACGTGGGAAAACGTTTGGTTCTTAGAAATTGTTTAATAAGAAACCTATTTTTTTTTGGAAAAAACTTCATATGGAGGTATGTACATGGGAAAACGTTTGGTTTTTAGAAATTTTTTAATAAGAAACCTATTTTTTTTTTGGAAAAAACTTCATATGGAGGTATGTGGGAGAACGTTTCCTTCTCACAAATTGTTTAATAAAAATCCTATTTTTTTTTGGAAAAAACTTCATATGGAGGTACGTGGGAAAACGTTTCGTTCTCAGAAATTGTTTAACAAGAATCCAATTTTTTTTTTTGGAGAAAACTTCATATGGAGGTACGTGGGAAAACGTTTGGTTCTTAGAAATTGTTTAATAAGAAACCTATTTTTTTTTTGGAAAAAACTTCATATGGAGGTACATGGGAAAACGTTTGGTTTTTAGAAATTTTTTAATAAGAAACCTATTTTTTTTTTTGGAAAAAACTTCATATGGAAGTATGTGGGAGAACGCTTCCTTCTCACAAATTGTTTAATAAGAATCCTATTTTTTTTTGGAAAAACTTCATATGGAGGTACGTGGGAAAACGTTTGGTTCTTAGAAATTGTTTAATAAGAAACCTATTTTTTTTTGGAAAAAACTTCATATGGAGGTACATGGGAAAACGTTTGGTTCTTAGAAATTGTTTAATGAGAAACCTATTTTTTTTGGAATAAACTTCATATGGAGGTACATGGGAAAACGTTTGGTTCTTAGAAATTTTTTAATAAGAAACCTATTTTTTTTTTTGGAAAAAACTTCATATGGAAGTATGTGGGAGAACGCTTCCTTCTCACAAATTGTTTAATAAGAATCCTATTTTTTTTTTGGAAAAAACTTCATATGGAGGTACGTGGGAAAACGTTTGGTTCTTAGAAATTGTTTAATAAGAAACCTATTTTTTTTTGGAAAAAACTTCATATGGAGGTACATGGGAAAACGTTTGGTTCTTAGACATTTTTTAATAAGAAACCTATTTTTTTTTGGAAAAAACTTAATATGGAGGTATGTGGGAGAACGTTTGGTTCTCACAAATTGTTTAATAAGAATCCTATTTTTTTTGGAAAAAACTTCATATGGAGGTACGTGGGAAAACGTTTGGTTCTTAGAAATTGTTTAATGAGAAACCTATTTTTTTTTGGAATAAACTTCATATGGAGGTACATGGGAAAACGTTTGGTTCTTAGAAATTTTTTAATAAGAAACCTATTTTTTTTTTTGGAAAAAACTTCATATGGAAGTATGTGGGAGAACGCTTCCTTCTCACAAATTGTTTAATAAGAATCCTATTTTTTTTTGGAAAAAACTTCATATGGAGGTACGTGGGAAAACGTTTGGTTCTTAGAAATTGTTTAATAAGAAACCTATTTTTTTTTGGAAAAAACTTCATATGGAGGTACATGGGAAAACGTTTGGTTCTTAGAAATTTTTAATAAGAAACCTATTTTTTTTTTGGAAAAAACTTAATATGGAGGTATGTGGGAGAACGTTTCCTTCTCATAAATTGTTTAATAAGAATCCTATTTTTTTTTTGGAAAAAACTTCATATGGAAGTATGTGGGAGAACGCTTCCTTCTCACAAATTGTTTAATAAGAATCCTATTTTTTTTTTGGAAAAAACTTCATATGGAGGTACGTGGGAAAACGTTTGGTTCTTAGAAATTGTTTAATAAGAAACCTATTTTTTTTTGGAAAAAACTTCATATGGAGGTACATGGGAAAACGTTTGGTTCTTAGAAATTTTTTAATAAGAAACCTATTTTTTTTTTGGAAAAAACTTAATATGGAGGTATGTGGGAGAACGTTTCCTTCTCATAAATTGTTTAATAAGAATCCTATTTTTTTTTTTGGAAAAAACTTCATATGGAAGTATGTGGGAGAACGCTTCCTTCTCACAAATTGTTTAATAAGAATCCTATTTTTTTTTTGGAAAAAACTTCATATGGAGGTACGTGGGAAAACGTTTGGTTCTTAGAAATTGTTTAATAAGAAACCTATTTTTTTTTGGAAAAAACTTCATATGGAGGTACATGGGAAAACGTTTGGTTCTTAGAAATTTTTTAATAAGAAACCTATTTTTTTTTGGAAAAAACTTAATATGGAGGTATGTGGGAGAACGTTTCCTTCTCATAAATTGTTTAATAAGAATCCTATTTTTTTTTTTGGAAAAAACTTCATATGGAAGTATGTGGGAGAACGCTTCCTTCTCACAAATTGTTTAATAAGAATCCTATTTTTTTTTTGGAAAAAACTTCATATGGAGGTACGTGGGAAAACGTTTGGTTCTTAGAAATTGTTTAATAAGAAACCTATTTTTTTTTGGAAAAAACTTCATATGGAGGTACATGGGAAAACGTTTGGTTCTTAGAAATTTTTTAATAAGAAACCTATTTTTTTTTTGGAAAAAACTTAATATGGAGGTATGTGGGAGAACGTTTCCTTCTCACAAATTGTTTAATAAGAATCCTATTTTTTTTTTTGGAAAAAACTTCATATGGAGGTACGTGGGAAAACGTTTGGTTCTTAGAAATTGTTTAATAAGAAACCTATTTTTTTTTGGAAAAAACTTCATATGGAGGTACATGGGAAAACGTTTGGTTCTTAGAAATTGTTTAATGAGAAACCTATTTTTTTTTGGAATAAACTTCATATGGAGGTACATGGGAAAACGTTTGGTTCTTAGAAATTTTTTAATAAGAAACCTATTTTTTTTTTTGGAAAAAACTTCATATGGAAGTATGTGGGAGAACGCTTCCTTCTCACAAATTGTTTAATAAGAATCCTATTTTTTTTTTGGAAAAAACTTCATATGGAGGTACGTGGGAAAACGTTTGGTTCTTAGAAATTGTTTAATAAGAATCCTATTTTTTTTTGGAAAAAACTTCATATGGAGGTACGTGGGAAAACGTTTGGTTCTTAGAAATTGTTTAATAAGAAACCTATTTTTTTTTGGAAAAAACTTCATATGGAGGTATGTGGTATACGTTTCGTTCTCAGAAATTGTTTAATAAGAATACAATTTTTTGTGTACTTTTTTTTTGTCTAAGAAAAACCTTCATATGGAGGTATGTGGGAAATTGTTTTTACCAAATATCTCGAGAACAACTAAGCTGATTTTGACGAATATTTGTCAGTGACTAGTGCTCCGCAAAATATCCAAATATTACGTTAAATATTCAAGAGGGCACAAAGAAATTTTAAATTATTTCCGAATTAACTAATTTTTATATTTCATCATTATCCGATTCGGAAACGAAAAAATAAAGCCATTCTACAAGTAGATTTTTACCTTCTGGTGAACATATTCGTTCATAACAGATAGTATTTTGTAACTGTTCACTATAAGCTTATTTTCGCAGAGCATTAGGATTTGTGGAGAAACTAACAAGAAATATACAGGTCACATGACACATACTCTATAAACTAGTCTCAATCCTTATGGTGTCACTAATCGAAAACCCGTGTATGACAGCTGCTTAAACAGAACCAAGTTTCTGCCGCCCGAAGAACCGATCTGGTGTCACGAATCGCCCACAGAGTACGCCGCGCAGGTATGCTGTTCTAGCAGAGATTTCTGCAACGCAGACGTGCGGTACATACCCCTTCTGTTGACACCTGACGGTAGCGAGACAGGTAAACGGTTTGCTGCTCCCTCGATTTTGCCCCCTGTTTTTCCCCAGAACCTTCGAACGTTCATCAT